ATAATATTCTGCAAATTGTGAATACATTTCTTTTTTATCAGCTAGCTAAGTGAATTGACACTAGTTGCTATACAGATTCGGCAGGTGATAAGCGCTCTGCTTGACAAATGCGAAAAAAAAATAATAATAACAAAAAACTAATACATATTCGAAGAGATAATCGGAAAGAGCAATAATTATTAGAGTCGTAGTGCTCGTATCTACTGAGCAAAAACGAAATACAATACAGCTATTAAAAATCATTGCCACTACCTGAAACAGAGCCAAAAAAAGAAAAAAACACAAAAAMGAAACGGGAAAAACAACAGCAACAATAAAGAGGCAGTCACAACCACGCGCTGCTCGTATCGTAATCGTTCGCTCCTCAGCTCAAGTGTTTCGGTTATAGCCGCTGCTCCATACGATTTCGGGCCAGTTTGTTGGCGGATTGTGCGAGAAGAGCATGTAAGTAGCAGCGGGCCTCAGCGATCTGTAAAAGCAATTTAAGAGCAATTACCTGCGCCAGATGCAAATGTCAATTGTATTATTGTGCAAACAAAAAGTGAGAGAGAGAGAGAGAGTAAAGCACTTGCGGTATATAGCGTCCATCCTAGATTCATTCTTTTAGCCTACGCAGAAACATCCGCTAATTGTCAGCCATTCATATATAACAATAGTACTTGGTACATATTATATACCTAACTATTTGTTATACGTAATAGTAAATAGAACTAGAATTAGAAAAGAGTTCATAAATCAATATGAATGGACGAAAACTCGAGTTTTGACGTTCCACGTATTTCATACGCGTCATCCATGTGTGTTGGCTTAATATACCCAGTGATTAGATTTAGAAGCTATAATAAACCTAAAGATTGATTGTTGTTGTTTTTTTTTTTTGTGGTTTTTGTTTTTGATAAGCTATTCAGATAACAATTTTTGTGAATTGAATATGACATTTAATTTCACTTAGATATTAATGATAATAAATATATTGAATATTTTGATTGACTTATCACTGCATTGATAAGCCTAACAGAGCGCAGAGCTTATACTTACTTATTTGCTGACAGCTGCAATTAAAATCTCAGATCGAATTGCAAAAATAAAAAAAACCTGATATATACCACGTGTTTGTATGCATACTTACATAGCTCTTCAGGTCGAGTATGACTTATCAGCTGATTATCGTGGCATGTACTTTGCTGTTGACCCACACTTATGCCAATCCCATTACTCCGAAGGCCAGTGTAGCCACAGAGCTCATTATCTTGCACAATAATGATATGCACGCAAGATTTGAGCAGACAAACAAGAATGGAGGCACTTGCTCCAAGGAGGATGCCAATACGGACAGGTGCTACGGCGGATTTGCACGTGTTGCCACCGAGTAAGTAACTTAAATCGACATGACTGAGCGATGATTCATTGTATCCTCAAATTCTTTCAGAGTTCGCAAATACCGTGAGGAGGCCAAGAAGGGAGGCACACCTGTACTGTATTTAAATGCAGGTGACACCTACACCGGCACAGCTTGGTTCTCAGTCTTTAAAGACAACATCACTAGCGCCTTTCTCAACATGCTACAGCCTGATGCTATTGTGAGTGCGATTTGGATTATAAATTTAATTTGTTTAATTTATTGTTTTGTTTGTATTTTCCATTTGATAGTCGCTAGGTAATCACGAGTTTGATAAGAATGTGGAAGGCCTAATACCATTCCTTAACGCTGTGGAATTCCCGGTGTTGGCTTGCAATTTGGACTTGTCGAAGGAACCAGATTTGGCTGCCGCTAAGAGTCTGGCTAATTCCACGATACTGGAGAGCAACGGAGTTCAGATTGGTGTAATTGGTTATCTGACACCAGATACCAAGGATCTTTCYTTCCAAAACAACGTGGAATTTGCAGAGGAAATTGTATCAATCAAGTAATTGCGCTTGAGTCTTTTTTGTAATAATTATGATAACTCATGACGAAATTATCTACTTCCAGTGCTGAAGCAGAGAAGTTAAAGGCTCAGGGCATTAAAATTATCATTGCTTTGGGTCACTCAGGATACCAAAAGGATCAGGATATTGCCAGAGAGTGTCCCGATGTYGATATAGTCATTGGTGGTCATTCGCATACCTATTTAGATGCCAATCAACCTGTTGCAGACAAGAACGATGCCAATCCAGAAGCAGTGCGAGGGCCCTATCCCACCACAGTGGTTCAGAAGAGTGGTAAAAAGGTGCCTGTGGTTCAGGCCTATGCTTACACAAAATACTTGGGAAAGATTCATGTGCAGGTTAGTTGTGAATAGACTTATACGTGGTATAATTTATGCATAATTCAAGTCACACTTTTTCTCTAGTTCGATGTCGAGGGAAATTTAATTGAATTCGATGGAGCGCCAATTCTGTTGAATGCATCGATTTCTCAGGATCAAGAGCTGTTAGATTTGCTCGAAGTCTATCGGCCAAATATCACAAGAC